TGTGGGGGCGTAAATTTTGTAAAGGTGTGGATAATTTTCGAAGGGATATAAGCCGAGGATTTTCATGACGGTTAGATTTAGTTTGAAACTGGTTTCAACTACGCCTTTCATTTTTACAATGGGGGTTACTGCATCAATTCAGGGCTTATATCTGCTTGTCGTGATCAATACGTTTGTCAAGTCCAGCGGTGATCTCTCCCTTTAATTACATTAATTTTACATCAAAGACTTTAAAATACGGAAGTAAATAATGGAGAAAATGGTACAAGACAAACGAAGTTAATTATTATTATTAGTGGGAAAAGTCGAGGGATCAGAAAAGATGCCACCAAATTGTAACGTTAACTGAAATTAGAAACACGTAGAGACAATTGAATTTAACAGAGCGCAAAATGTGTGTTGAAAGGAACTTAAGAGAAACTGTAATAAAAAAACACCATATTGTGCAAAGAAACTAGAACAAAAGTCAAAATAATAATTATTGAATCAATCCTAAAAAAATGATAATTAGAGAATGAGACATATGGGAGAACAGTAGTAAAATATAAAATTAAAATGAAAGAAATAATGAATAGTACGAAAATTTAAGAAATTTTGTTACGTTGGATTTGTCGACACTACTTTTCAACTTGGATGCTATATACTGTACTCTAAAATGTAAAACAATGTCCGAATGCAATATTACTATATCATCTTACAATTTAAAATACGATGGAAAGTCCTTCTTCTACTGTAAGTACTGTAATACATTTTAATGTCACTTTGTTGTTATCCAGAAATATTTACTGGAAAACAAATTGCTCTGCTTAAGTTAGCTGTTAAAATTTTTATAAGCCCAGTTTTGTGTCAATATTTAATTTTTTTTTATAACATTCAGTATAATTTGGACACTGGTTTTTTGTTCCATTAATGAAAAACGTTACTGTGAACATGCAAAGTCATCCTTTTGATACACTCATCTGATTAAAAAATATCTTTTGTGTCAGAGTGTTCATTTAAATAACATTTACTAAACAATATTTCATCACATTGTTGGTCCACACGATATTCCTAACATCTACATAAAATTTGACAACATTCGGTCCAGTGGTTTCGGAAATTATCAGAGAGACGACAGCAGGCAAACGGAAACGGGAGACCTACTTTTCCACACTCTAGGGATCATCGAACGTCGACAAAATATGAACGTACGTGAAAGTACGCGGTAAAGAAGCTATATTAAGTTTAGTTGGTTTGGCAGTTAGACAAAAAGGAAATCACAGTTTTCTCAACAAGCATAACTAATTATTGCTGTTTTTCTAATCGGAAATATGAGAATTTTCGACCAATGCCAACACGTGGTAAATTTGATTCATTGTTTGTAAATTCATGTTAGGATTTTAATCGTTAACTAGTTCTAGCACAATTTAACAGTCATGAGATTGTTCAGATAAAGCACTTGCTAGGAGATTTCATGAAATTCACTTATTCAGGAGTCATCCATTGATATCAAGTTATCAATAAGGTTTCTGGATGCTTGACACTTCTTAATTCCTCACACAAGTTAGCTAGTTGTTCATTTAGGGCAGTTAAATTAAATTAACGTTGTCGCACTCTAGGAAAAGGACACACACCAATGAAATTTGGCATTTCTTAAGATTTTTGAAAATTTTAATATACAAATCAAATACAGTATAACCTCTATAATCCGAACCCACGATTATCCGAACATCCAGTAATCCGAAGAGAGGCCAGTTGAAGTCGATCTCTCTTTAATCCGAACCAAAATTCTGCAATCCGAACTAACTTGAAAACATGCACCTACTTGCAAAAATGACGCAAGATCTTCGTTCTGTACGTGTTGTATTGAATTTTTTTTAATTTTCAAAAATTGTGATATTTCAATGCTTTGAATTAATTGACTAATTCTGGAAAAAAGGTTGAAGTTATCGAAAAAATGACGCCGGAAGTGACTTTTGCGCCCCGAAATCTACAAGAAAAAATATTTAGTTAAAATAGCAGTAGTACTTGTCAAATAACCTACCCTCTAAGAAAATAAAAGGCGGCTGGGCCAGGCTAGTATATATTTACCAAAATAAGACTCATTTTGGCAAATGACCTACTCTTCTAAGAAAAGGTACTAGCCCCGCCCACCCACCCCTTATTTTCTTACAAGAGTGGATCATCTGCCAAAATCAGTCTTATTTTAACAAGTACTAGCCCCGCCCACCCACCCTTTTTTTCTTAGAGGATGCCATTTTTTTTATTCTTTATTTCTTTTGAGAAGTAGAACATTGGGCAAAATTAGTCTTATTTTGGCAAATACTAGCCCGGCCCACCCGCCCTTTGTTTTTTTAGAGAGTAAATCATCTGCCAAAATCAGTCTTATCGTAGCGAGTACTACTAAATTTTTCAATATTTCGATTTTCAACTTTCGAATTTTTCAATTTCTCGTTTATTATATTTTCAATTTTTTGATCTGTCTTTCGAGTTTTCATTTCTCTGTCCAACTGCAAAAAACTTTCGATTTTTTAATTTTACAATTTTGGCAGTTTTCCGATTTCGCAATTATTTGATTTTTAAAAATATCAAGAAAATAGATTTCTTTAAATTTTCGATTTTTAAAAGTAATTTTGATCAGCGATTGCCATGTTTACCGTAACTTTAAAGCACCTGAAAACTTTGTTTCTAATTTTCAATTTTTGGATATTTCGATTTTTCAAAATTTCGGGTTCGAATAAATTTGTTCTTTTAGTTAAAAAATCGAAAAATGACAAATCGCGAAAAGGAAAAATTTTAACTGGAAAAATTAAAAATCAAAAAATTCCAAAATTGTAAAGTTAACACTCGAAAAATCAAAAGATTGGAATTAAAAACTTCAAAATTGTCAAACAAATTATATATCAAATGAAACATTCCAAAGTCGAAAAATCTAAAAACTAAAATCGATTTTATAAGATTTGTTTTCTTTTTTAAATTTTTCGATATTTCAGTTTTTGATTTTCCGATTAAACAGCTGTACAATTTTCCGATTTCTCATTTATCCAATTTTTCAATTCGTCGTTTTTTGATTTTTAAGTTTTTTTATTTTTACCAAGTACTAGCCCCACCCACCCAGCGTTTATTTTCTTAGAAGAATAAGTCATCTGCCAAAATCAGTCTTATCTTGGCAAGTACTAGCCCCGCCCACCCGCCCTTTCTTTCTTAGAAGAGTGGGTCATCTGCCAAAATCAGTCTTATCTTGACAAGGACTAGCAAGGGCTAGCCCCGCCCACCCACCCTTATTTTCTTAGCGGATATGTCATTTGCAAAAATCAGTGTCATATTTGCCAAGATAAGACTGATTTTGGCAGATGACCTACTCTTCTAAGAAAATAAAGGGTGGGTGGGCGGGGCTAGTACTTTTCTTAGAAGAGTATGTCATTTGTCAAATAAGTCTTATTTTAGCAAGTACTAGCCTGGCCCACCCTCCTTTTATTTTTTTAGAGGGTAGGTTATTTGGCAAGTGCTACCATAGTAAAATTTCATTTTTGAAAAAGCTGTCTAAAAATTTTGAATAAATTCAGACGTGTTGATTCCATTGTTGGTTAAGAATACTTTATTTCTGTTTAATAAAATTAGGGTTTATTTCGTGAAATTTGTTTTCAGCAGGGTATGAAATTGTTATTCAATCCCCTTTCAACTTTTTGGGAAATTCAGAAGAAATCGCTAATCCGAACACACCTTTCCCCAATTAATTCGGATAATCGAGGTTATACTGTATCTATTTCGAAAATATTCCCCCGGGATCATAAACACGCTCAAAATCTATTTTTCTGAATTATTTGTGGATTTTTAGGCAACTTTAGCAAAAGCTCAATTTTTCAATATTCATTTCTTTGAAAGACCCTAATGACATTTTTGCAATTTTTAGGATTTTCGTAAACCATACACATAATTTTTCTGTATCAGAAAATTTATGGCCATTTTTTGGCAATTTTTACGACTCAAAAAACAAATTTAATTTAAAACCGTATATTTGGGAAATGTTGATCCTGGACCATAAACACAACATAAACAAAAAGTTCTTATGGATTTTTCGGCAACTTTTCAAAGATATGAACTATTGTCTCGATTATTATATTAGCAACTGGTAGATTTGTAGTTACATACTTGTTAAAATTTCCAGTTGTAGTTATATAATTATTAAAATTTCTAGTCCAACCTTTGTAAGATTCCAGAGCATTCGGTTTTACAATTTCAAAGTTAAATAATATGATGCTATAAAGTTTCGGTAAACCACAACTGCAGAAGTATAAATATTGTTATACAATTTTAATTTTTTTATTCAAAAAAGCTGAATATCTAGAGTAAGAACTCAACAAATGAAAAAAAACATTAAACGTCATTAAAAAAAATAAATTAACCGGGAACATGTTTCATCATTTGAAAAATCATTTTGGTTTGGTTTAAAATAATATCTCATAAAGTTCGTCAGGAAATTGTCAGTCGTGCCCACTTTATTCTTTCTAAGTGTTAAGGGATTATGAAAACCCGCAGTGAGAAGGAGGAAAAATTAAAAATTAATTAATTAATTAATAAAGATTTATTTGCCAACAAAATAATTCCATTTACAAGACAAATTAATTACACCTTAAATTCGATGAAGTTTTCAGACTCCTTAGTCCTTTTGTGTTATTTTTCACCCTAACTCATTTAAAATTGTTAGAAACCATATTCCTAAAATTACAACTATCTTTACAAAACTGTGCAAATGATACGAAAAAATTTTGAAAGTTAACTAATATTTCACTATTAAAGAATTCTACACAAAACATTCGCTAAAAGGGAAAATATCTTACAAACGTTAGGAACATTAATATCACAATAGATCTAAACGATCTAGAAGAGAAACTGTTTTGATAAAGAGTTATATTTTCAATGTTTTTCGAAAAACTAAACTTTTTTTTGAGCATCATAATTTATTTACACTACAGCATTGTGTTGCCTACGTTTAACAGTCGAACTGTGCAATTAAACAATTATTCGTATGTTTTAAGCAAAGCAAGGAAAGAGTAGGACCGTTTGATGATCTAAAACATAAATGAAAATTAATAGTACGACACAACCTTTAACGTTACCAGAGTAAAAGTATCCAAAGTTAGCCCAAGCAGCCTTCCAACTGTCACCACCATTGGTCGTTTGGACCGTTCCATGAACAGTATCAGAGCCTTCTTGGTTGCATGGTCATAATTGTACCATCGTCCCATATATATAGAAACCGGCAAGGAATTATTCTAAAAAAGTACAAAACAATATTATTTTATATATATATATACACTTACATACTACAAAAAACAATCACCTCTTCATACAGCGTTGTACCGTAGTAACAGAAGCAGTAAATTTGAAACAAAATCACAGATACATAAAGTATCATAGTTACGGAATTTACGCTGGAAAGTGAATCCTAAAATACGAGTTTCTGATTAATTTTGGCTATAATTTGTATAACAAAACGGACCGCACTTAACTGAAAACAACAAATACCGATCATGATGATGCTTCCAGATAATTGGCTAAAGATGACTTGGGAGAAGCAATCTTCATACTGACCCACAAAACTGAAACAGTACTTTTATGACTTTTATAACATCAACTCAAGAATTACCTGGCTATTGCCTGATGATAACGAATACAAAGTTTCAGTTTCTGAATTATGGTCACTTTAGGACATAAATTAATCTCCCGATCTTCATCATAATCCAAGTGGCGAAGATTGTATTTCAAAATTTGTAACTGAGCAGTGGTATTACAAGCCAATCCCCAGATTAACGGATCAACAGTTCCACAAGCAATTCCCGAGTAACCGATCCCTGAAAATCAAAATTTCCACACCAAAAAAAAAATTAAAATAAATCGCTTATCCACTGCTAGCATCGCAAAGACACAAACATACAACACAGGCTGATTTTCCACTGAAAACGGAAGCCACACTTCGACTGGTAACCGGTAACTACCACCCCAAATGAACGGCTTAATCAACAAACTAATCCAACAGAAAATCGCTCCGCTGAAAAAGAACTTCGTATTTCTTCGACACACTCTTGTACATTCAACAAGAACATCGTCAGCATCCTCAAGCAGACTGAATATTTCCAAATCGAAGTAGTGAATGCACAGTTTAATTTCGTTTCCATTTGTCACAAAGGGCAGAAACTTCGGGATATAAATCACCATTCCAACAATGATGAATGAGTTATAATCCATAATCTGCATACCAACGTTTAAAACGAAACCAAAAACTCCGAGCACTGCAAATGGCACTAGTGCTATGAAATATAACACGAAAGACCAAAACTTATGCCAAAGTGTTTGTTTTTCTGGAGGGTAGAGCCCAATAAGTTTCATCCAACGTAGGTTTAAGGCAAAGTTAACTTGTGTGATGCTCGGCATTTTCTTGAGACTGACGTTGACAATAGGTTGATCTTTATATATTGACTCGTTGGAGGGATGAGCAGCTATACCTCGTAATAATAGACGATTATAAATTTTTCATCAAAAGACTAAAACATAAAAGTTAATTTTATTCAATATTCATTCCTCTTGCACATTTTATCGTTTGTAATAGCGAATGTCCAGTCCCTGTAATTATTATCTTGGTTTCATAAATTATTAATTATTGTGTCCGTAACGGCATTTCTTTCAAGTGCATGTTTCTGATGAAATCGTTTTAAATACGGGATTTTATTTATGTGATAATTGTGTGATTAGTGGTGTAAATCCAACTATAAAATCCTGTAATGGACGTTATTTTCCTTAAACTTAAAATTCTCACGATTAGTTCAACAAATTTAGTTTATTAACCTCTGAATGTTAAAAAAATAAGAGTGTATTACTAAACTACAGGTAAAGAAACATCTGCTCCATGTTCAAGTGATATTTTCTTAACAAATTTTGGAGACAAATATACAGCTTGGATAATAGTATAAGACTGATAAGTTGATAACAACTATACTGGGTTCCCAAAATTGTATGTTTTATGATATCCTGTATCAGTGCAAAGAAATGGATTAAGAAATTGTACGTATTATCCCACACAATTCAAGAGAGAACTTTGGGAAATTACCTCAAGAGATTTTTTATTGTTCTCCATTTCTCCGAAACTTCCTACCATTTCTCCAGCATCACCAAGATGAAATATAGTAATTTTTGGATATTTTAAAAATTCGTTTTTGAAACCAAAAATATCGAAAACCTTTGTCCGGGTTGTTCGATCTTTCGAGTTAGTTTGGCGAGATTGTTACAAAAGGTTGCATAGTTTTAGGAAACTTTGCCAAAAGCTCAAATTTTCAATACGCCCTTCCTTCATCGTTATGAACTTACCTTTTTCCAAGCACTTTCGAAAATTACTCAATTTGAAAAATCTTAGTAAGAGTTCATCAGCAGGTTATGTCTTCCCAATTAGCTCGACCATTTGTATTTCATATAATTTTGGATTTTTTAACAAGTTTGTCAGAAGTTCAATTTTTCAAGAAATTTTTGACTTTTTTCCAATCACTTCCGAAAATCACGTAACCAGACTATTTTATTGACTTAGAATTGTACAAGTTAGTTTAGGTTTCATTTCTTGGTAAATTTCAACCATTTTTGCAGAATCGCCAAGATCAAGTACCTTAAAAGAATTTTTGGGATATTTTATAAATTTGATTTTGACTTTGCAGAGGATTCACATCTATTTTCCAGAACTTTACTGCTGTTTGCAGTTTCATTTAAGAAATTACTTAAAAAAAAATGAGATTACAGTTAACAACAGGGTAAAATAAAATTCGCGGATTCAAAAACCGGCACTGCCATAACTCATAATAAACATACATAAGTCACTGTAGTAGATTTTACTACGAAATCTTCTTAACATCTTAATTTTTGTGTATTTAATCTAGTTCTAGTAAATAATGTTATTAATTTGAAACCAATTTGAAATATGAAATAAAATTCGTACTGTATTTACATTGCTTAAAATTTTCGCTAAAATATTTTTCTCTGGAAGGAAGATGTACATGTGTGAAATTAGAAACTATGATGGGAAGGTAATTTTTTTTGTATTTACCCTCACCGTATTGAATTTTTATTATTTTTTTACTTGTTTTGAAATAAATCTTTCTATTCTTTGTTTCTAATTAAATATTTGTCTTTATTTTGGGAAAGAATATCACAAATTGAAAGAAACAAATATGTCTAAGCGCAGTTAAGTGTAGGGGAAAGGTGCAAGAAATTATTTGTAAAGAAATACCGAGTCAATATTCATTTAAAAATCAGACAACAAGAACAAATAACAGAAAACATAATTTTCGATATTCAAACATTGCTAAATTATTTCTATAAAAATACAAAATTATTTCATTACAATAATGCAGTTACAAGCAAATTCTTGTTATATTTATGTACACACTCTAGAGGTTCAGGGCGCGGAGATAAGTACGCCGATCCGGGAAGTCTTCTCGTCACGAATGGGGCTGAAGTGCGGTTCTCTGTGTGACTCGCTCGTAGTAAAAGAAGTTGCATCAGTCAACGTATTGGCGGCACTGGCTATAAATGCAATTCCTAAGCCCTCTTAATCCATTTAGCTCCGCTTTTAGAAATCCATTAATAAACATAGGAATAATTATCCAAGGTATAAATATATACCGTCATTTAACCCTTGGATAAGTCGGCATTGCTTTTACAATACTTTTTATCTGATCGTCAGTTATTTTTAGGGATAGCAATATTTGATATCGATAGTAATGAAGAGATCAGGGACCACGTAGGACAAATGAGATATCCAAAGGATTTTGGACATTAACATTATGGTGAGCACATTTGAATTAAAATTCACGCGAAAAAAAAATTAACAGCGGCGCGAAATCACTTTGAATAATTTGAATTTGAAAAAAACATAATCAAGAAAATCGTTAAACATAGACAACCATGTGCACGTTTAGTTCTTTTTCTGGTGTTGGTAGTTCTGCTTGGAACGTTAGTTAGAGGGCTGGTAGTGAGAGAGTTGGTAGTGAGAGAAGATGGCGGCTTTGTAGAGAGGAGAGAGGGTCACTTTTGGTTTGTTGTTGTGAGTAAAAACCACGTGGTGCGTTTAGTAGGATAACTTAGTTGGTTTGGTAGTTAATAAAATGGATAATTACATCACCAAAGAGCTTTTCTCGCTACGCCGGATACATGTTGAGTTGTTTATTTATCATATGTTTTGTTTGGGATAAACTGAGAGCAGTCACGATATAAACTCTCAAAGTTGATGGTTCTAAGTAACCAATCACTTGGATCCTGACATAATGTAACATCATCTAAATTCTTTGTTTGAATCTATGATAAAGTGCGGCATAATTTAACTTAATGTAAATTCTTTTTTTGAATCGTTGATAAAGTGTGGCAAATAAGTATTAAACTCACATAATTTTCTTAGCTTTGCAAATTTTCACCTCACACAATTTTTTCTCTCTCACAATTTTAACTTCAGTAATTTTCTTTGTTGTATACTTTCTATTTCTACAGTTTCTAACCTCACATAATGTTTGTTGAAGTTTTACTTCACATCAGATCTTTTTTTGTTTTTTTTTTCAATTTTTGCTAGTTTCTTTTAGTTTGTAACTATTTATGTATGGCGAATTTAAATGTTGTTTATTGGTCTTTTTAAAACTTTCACACTTGTTCAGTTAGAGTTTAATATCAGAGTCATAGAAATTGAATATTTAAATGGAATTGAGGGTAGATAACACTAAACTACGTGGCAAAAGCGGAGGGTGCGGTTCCTAGTCGAGCTGGCGGGATTTATCGCGCCATCTGCACAAAGGATACAGACTTTGTATAGAAGTCAGGTCAAGTCAAGATGATGTGATGCTGTCGACGAACTACAGGTAAAGAAATATTCCCTGCTCTATGTTCAAGTGACATTTTCTTAACAAATTTTGGAGACAAATATACAGCTTGGATAATAGTATAAGACTGATAAGTTGATAACAACTATACTGGCATCATCAAGATGAAATATAGTAATTTCTGCATATTTTAAAAATTTGTTTTTGAAACCGAAAATTTCGAAAATCTTGCTCTGGCTTTTTCGGTTTTTCGAGTTAGTACATTTGAAGTTTTCTTATCGATAGTCTAAGTAATTATTTTTTTGACAAAATGAAAAACCTGTTCTGTTTCTAATTAAATATTTGTCTTTAATTTGGGAAAGAATATCACAAATTGAAAGAAATGAATATGTCAAAGTGCAGTTATGTATAGGGGAAAGGCACAAAAATTTATTTGCAAAGAAATACCGATTCAATATTTATTTAAAAAGCAAGCGACAACAAGAAGTAGCAGGAAACACAATTTTTGATATTCAGTCATTGCTAAATTATTTCTATAAAAATACAAAAATATTTAATTACAGTAGTGCAGTTACAAGCAATTTCTTGTTATTTTTATATACACCAATCAAATATACGGATTGATAAATATCAATCACTCCGGGCAATCTTCTCGTCACGAATAGGGTCGAAGTGCGACTCTCTGTGTGATTCGCTCGTCGTAAAAGCAGTTGCGTCAGTTAGCGTCTTGGCGGCTCTTAACCCACTTAGGTCCGCTTTTACAAATCCTTGATAAATATGGGACTAGTTATCCAAGGTATAAATATATACCGTCATTTAACCCTTGGATAAGTCGGTATTGCTTTTACAATATTTTGTATCTGATCGTCAGTTATCCCCCAGTTTATTTATTTTTATTATGATGTTGTTAACAAAATGATATGTAAAATGTCAAGAATATTACCATAACAGAAGTGTATTATCTATCCAAAAATTTAGAAAAATTTTAATAAATGTGTGGAGAGCAAATAGAATTTTACAATAACACTACCAAAGCAATTTTTTCTCTGAAAAAGAAATTTTTCCTTGAATCTGCTAGTAATTGTGACAATTTTCCTCTATAATGTAGAAGTTTACCGTTTTTTTTTATTTTTTAGCAAGGTGATTAGAATGATTAGGAATATTATAATTCAATGCTGCTGAAAAAAGCAATTTATGAACGTGGAAGCATCGTAGATCAACTTTTGGAGGTTATGTTGTTTATTATTTCGATAAACCTGAAAACTCCACAGAATAAGGCGAATCTATATAATTCTAAAAGAAAAAATAGAGTCAATAGTGTGGTAATCAAATCTGAATTAAAATTTCGCGCTGCAGAAAAAAACAACGGCGCGAAATCGCATTCGAATAATAATTTGAATTTGAAAAAAAATGAATTCAGAAAATCGTTAAACATAGGCAACCATGTGCAAGTTTAGTACTTTTTTGGCAGTTGGTAGCTCTCCTAGAAAATTTCTGGGTAGTATCTAGTGAAAGGGTTGGCAACGTCACTGTTGTTTTGTTTGGTGTGAGCGAAAGCACGCGGTAAGGAAGCTAGATTAAGTTTAGTTGGTTTGGTAGTTAGAAAAAAGGGAAGCCTTTGTTTAACGAAAATTAATCGAGCCGATTGCCGAGCCAACACGTGGTGTAAATTTAATCTATTGTTTGTAAATTCACAGTTCATGTCAGGATTTTAATCGTAAACTGTTTCTAAGACAATTTAACGGTCACGAGAACTAATCCTTTGTTTATCAAGTCATAAATAAGGTTTCTGGATGCTTCTACTTAAGCGTTACATCATAGCACTTCTTAATTCCTCACACAAGATTGCTAATAGTTCATTTACTTAACGTTGTAAAGTGCGATAGAATCGTGGAGTGAGGTACGGGAGGATTAAATTTTTCCCCTTAGGCAGTTGTTATCATCATCACATCATCGAGACATATTTCTCGCCACGTGGGAAACTATATCGCCGAGACGCATATTTCTCGCGACAAGGGATGCATTATGTGTTTTAAGTAACAAGTCACTTGGATCATGGCATAATTTAACATCATATAAATTCTTTGTTTAAATCGGTGATAGAGTGTGGCCTAATTTAACATCATGTAAATTCTTTGTTTGAATCGTTGATAAAGTGTGGCAAATATTAAACTCAAGTAATTTTGCTAGATTTGCAATTTTTCATGTCACAATTTTAATCTCCGTAATTTTTATTTAATTGAACGTAAAATTTCACGTTCTGCAGTTCCTAACTTCACGTAAATTTTTTGTCTACACAAATTTTACTTCACGCCAGACCTTTTTTTGTTTTTATAAATCTTTGCCAGATTTTGACCACGTAAATATTTTGTTGATTATGCTTCCATCTTCTTCCCACAAGTGTATAGCGAATTTAAATGTTGTTTATTGTTCTTTTCGAAACTTTAACAGTTGTTCGGTTGTAGTTTAATGTCAGAGTTATAGAAAGTGAACATTTAAATGGAATTGAGGTAAATAACGGAGAAACACGTGGCAAAAGCGGAGGGCGCGGTTCCTAGTCGAGCTGGCGGGATTTATCGTGCCATCTACACGAAAGACGCAATGGGAAAGGTCGGGATAACGTGACGCTCTCGGCTAAGAACAGGCAGCTTTTTTTTTTAGTAATACTTTTCCAACCTTGGGGTCCATCACTTGCATCTGAATGCATTTCGCCAGAAAAGAAACACAATGTAGGGTTCCATTTAGTTAGACGATCACAGCCAAGACCAAATTTTTGAATTTTTGAATTTTTCGCGAGTTTTTAATTTTTTTTTTCACATGACAATTTAAAGCAGAATCTTTGGGTTATCACAATAGTTTCGAATCAATTGTGAAAATGATGTGAGACAGTGTTATATATTAATTACTATTCCTTGGATAAATTCTTATCCTATGTCAACAGCAGGGGTTAAGAAATACCATTGTTTATCCAAAACTTTATCTATTCCGTAGATATCCTATGATTATAAAATGGCTATCAGACGTTTATCGAAGGAATAGAGATATCCCTCTTAATCATCTCATCTCTCTTAATTCATCCGTCTCGGGTGGCATGGAATCACGGCTTTCTGTGTGATCCGCTCGTCGTGGAAGGAATTGAGTCACTCGGCGTAATTGAGTCACACGGCGTAATTGTGGCAGTGGAATTTGTATGGCCACTTAATTGTCAATCCTATAGTTATCCAGCTATAGTTAATTTTAATTGGAAATTGATAAACACAGACAAAAAACATGACCTGACCCGACCTGATCTGACCTGTCCTGACAAAGCAAAGCATTTGTTTTGACCAAAAAATGTTCCTAGTCGGTTAGAAAATGTCCGAAAATGTGCTGTACCTACTTATTAATTTTGACCTCGTGAATACGAATCTGAAGCTTTCTGAATTTTTTTTATTTTTTTATATGTGTAATACAAAAACCTCTAAGAATTCGGCTTATTTCAACTATTTTGAAATGGTGACCCCATAAACTTAAAAAATGTTTTTGGAAAATCTTTCTCCCGACAAGTTTTTCGATAACTCAATGTCCTGAAATTTGCTGTATTTATTAAATGGCGCTGCACTCTTGGACAACGAAGACTAGCTTTCCTTAAAAATTTTACTAAATGTATTTCCTAAATTTTCCTTGTATATACATGAGTTAAGATTTTATTATAAAGTGAGGGCTAACATGTTTCGGTACCAACTGGTACCATCATCAGAGCTAAATAATGAAGAGGCATTAGCTTAAAATAAAGTTAATCCACTTACCCTGAGTACAACAACCTAATGATTACATCATTACTCAAATTAGGCTTGCTGTTAACAGCAATTTTAAGCTCTAACTATGAAATCTAACGGATGTTCTAGAAGTGAAAAGGTAATTGGCGCTATTTATCAAATATTCTAAAAACTAAAATGACAATAGCACCATCTATCTAGTGTTCTAGAAATAAAATACCCAGCAGAAAAATATATGAAGTTATTAAAAAATTAAAAATGTCTTTTGAAAAAGAAAAACCAGCTGTAAAGAACACAGAAAGAACACACTGATATTTTTTGATACCCGTAAATTCCGACTTATACCAATGAATTCTTTATGGTCTCCCCAAAATTTATTAACCTGATTGACCCATTAGACCGATAGGTTCTTGTGTAAATTTTCTTTTTAATGAAGAACATACTAGTTTAGCAATGGGATCTTCTCCTATAAATTCATACCAATTTCCAATCACAGACTTTTTCCTTCTTTGTCCATTTTCAAAATTTTCAAAAAAACTAGATTGTAACATTGCCTTTAAGACTTCTTCTAACCTTTCTGCTTTCGAAGTAGAAAGACAGGAATCATAAATGAAGAAAAATGAAGATATGGAGGAACGAAGACGAAGAAAATACCCGAAAATTAAAAGTTCATTCAAAACATTGATAAAATACCAATGCAAGAAATAGTAAAGAGAAAAATGAACACCTATAAAAGAACCAGAAGTACGAAAATTTGAAGACTTAAAAACTTCTTAAAAATTTAAGGAGTAACAGAAGCAAAGATATACCTAATAACAACGTGACATTAACGAAACTGGGAAAAACAAAAACCCAAAATTTAATTTTATAAATAAACTTCGACAAATCTTTTTCTCCTAAGAAAATATGGTTTTTCCTTTAATACAAGATACTAACAAATATTTTTTTAATTAAAAAAATTAGGCAAACAAAACAGTCGTAAATTATGGCTGTCGGCAATCTCCGATTTCTGTTCTGAGTCTATGGTTTCCTAGAATAATGAGTTTGCATCAATACACTATACAATTTTCCAGACTTATATGCAAAATATAACGGATATGCAAATTTCACAAAAATCCGCTCTCTACGTAATCACAACTTACCCATTTATGCTTTCAAAAAAATTTCTGATCACAAAATTTAATGAAATGCTGATGCTCCTGTACTTCCGACTTAATAATATTTTCCTATTATTTAGAATTGGTTATACAAGATGTCTCAAAAAATCATAAATGAGGCATTTGATATTGTTGATGGAATCATAAACGGTTTTCCTAGTTTTTCTGAAATTCTGGATTTAAAACAATATTACATATCAAAACTGATATATCTGTCCGTGCTTAGAAACTGATGACGTCACCACAAAATTTATTAAAACCAGCTTCTTTGAAAACACAAGAATACGTTACGTATCTCTCGTTTAACAACTCATAGGGATCAGTTTTACCTAACATATAGGAAATTTTAATTTGTTTCAAAAAGTGAACTTATTTAATGGATTTATGGACAAAATAAATGTCTGTATAACTTTAGACTATTTATTTTCTTTACGTTTAACCTCACAGGTAATATTTTCCTGCTTAATCTCGCATTGAAATCTCCAACCAAATTTAATTTTTGGTGCGCTATCTTTAGATTAGTTTCAATATTTTTATATTACTATATAGGAAACATAATTATCTCTGCTTCTAGTTTTCAATTTACATTTTTTTCATTATATTTCATATGAAATTCTTCTTAAATATCGTTTGTTACTTTCTTGCACAGATTCTTTAGCACTCTTGAAATTTTATAAATCTTATCCTTATTAAGTATTAAATTAAGTTCTTCTTTGACGGGACCTTATAGTTTTAAATAACAGTTTGTAAGCTGATTTGGAATTTAGTCCCATTATTTTATTAAATTTTTTAAATAAAATTTGAATTTAGTTTAGGTATGTACTTTCCTATTGTAAATGTGATGATTTTGGTATTCAAAACACAAGTCTAAATTGACCCAGAAAAATCCACTCGTTACAAAAATACTTAGTTATGATTTGAGAAGTTTTAAAGCAAATTATGGTGGAGGCGCCGGGAAAGAAAAATCATGTTTGACAAACCATTATTAAAAATGGTTTTAAAATGTATGAAAGCAGATAATATTTTTAAAACTGTGTCATTTAGAAATAAACGTGAGTACTTACTGTTTTTTTTCACACAGTTTTTGCTTCTATAATTTTATTATTACTAATTAAGTTTTATATTTAAATTTTCTTCCAAACCATTAAAGAACAGAACAGTGTAGACAAGTTATATTAAATGAAATATTATAAATAGTACAAAAGCTACTTATTGAACACACCAAACATTAACAACACTGACTTAGAAGTTTTTATCAAAATTTTAGTTGAATTCTAGATTGTAGTTCTCCAAAACTGCCAACAAAGAATAAGATCGTCTCAATATCTGAAAATTTGCATTAAAAAAGCCACACTTTACTTAACAACGTTACCATTGTAAAAGTGACCAAAGACATATCGAAGATTTTTCCAACTCTAATCACCATAGGTCTTTTTGCACGTTCCATCAAAACAATCAAAGCTCTCTTTGTTTTCACGTCGAATTCGTACCACTTGCTTAAATAAACTGCTGTATTTATAGTATTATTCTAAAAAAAAATATTCATAATAAACTGATAGACTTCTCAGTGTCACAACCTCTTCAAACAAAATCGTCCCAAAATGACAATAAAGATAAACTTCTGTCAACATAGCAATTAAATACATCATCATTGCCAAAAAATTGAAACTTAGAACGTCCACTATGGTAAGCTGAAGACACGAAACGCAAAAAACGACCACACCTCCAGCAAACTGGCTGAAGGCAATTTGCGAAAAACATCTCCCGTATTCTTCGACAAAACTAAAATTTATAAAATTAAATAATTCATACAGTAATTACAAACAAATTACTCTAAAATTCTGTTGTGGTGAATAACACATTGTTTCACTTTTTCAAAAAACAGATGATTCTTATTTAAAGAAATATCGTTCGATGACAACATTTCTTCGTCTACGTATTCCCCAAGAAATTGTAAGTTGTTTTTGAGTATTTGTATCTGAACTGTAGCCTGATAGGCTAATCCAGCGACTAAAGGATCAACAGCTGCACTAGTGTAAGCCCCATAACCAACAGCTGAAATAAAAATTACTCTCGAGTTTATATTTTCTTCAAATACTCACCTAACACTAGATATACATAAACACAACAGTTATAAAAAGTCGGGGCTGTGTTAGGGTCAAAAGGTAGCCACAAATCAGTCGGAAAAATATGATTTTTCCAAGCAATAGGTCTACAAGACCAACTCATAAATCCTGCTGTTACAGACGTAAAAAATAGCTTTGTCGTAGTTCTACAAACTTTAACCCCTTCCTCTAAAATCTTCCTGTGCTCTTTCCTCTCCACTTCAAAAACCGGAGCATCAAAATAATGGATACAATTTTTGATTCTTTCACCATTATTCAAAAACGGCCAAAATTTTGGAATGAAGCACCCCAGCTCCGCTATTAAGAAAGTGTTGTCGGCGATTTGCATAAAACTGAGATCGTCTTGCAAATAAAGATTGAGACACTGCAGAATTGGAACTGGAACTATGAGTAAAAAGTACAAAATGTAAGTTAGCACTCGGTATAGATTTTTATAGCGGTTTGGAGGGTATAAACCGAACACTCTCATTCCACGTAGGTTGAGACTGAAGCTTTGTGTAATTACTTCTGGCATTCTGTTCAAGAATAAGGATGTTTTATTGTGTTTTACGTTTATAAGGGTGGTATACATTTATATATTTATCGCGGCGTCTTTTCAAATTATAGAGAGAAATTGAGATTAATTTTTAATCAAAGTCCAACGGTTAAATTTAAAGTTATTGCATGACATTCTGGCCGGGGTACGTGGGAAACTATTATTGAAAGAAAGTTCTAATCAAAAATTCACGCTGATGATTTCTAATTCTCTTTGAATTGTGTTTGTGGCTATACAAAAAGGAAAAATAGTTCGACTGTAATTGTGTACTGGTCATGCTTGATGATGTTTTTTAAGTGAAGTACTTTTACAAGGTGTGGTGATTATATATAAAATAAAACCTGTGTACTGTGTAGTTTAAATTAAAGTTTTTTCGGTTGTGCTTAATTTCAGAAAATGAAACGAAACAAGAATACAAAAACACATCAAAAGAGTAAATCAAGGAAAATAGAACAAATAAAATAAACGTAAACTTGCAGCTCGGTTTTTAATATTAGGTAAGTTAAACTATATTTAAAATAGACAATAAGACAGAAGGTACAATTATTAACAAGATGTGAATTCATAGCTAATGATTTGGTACATATTTGAAACCAAAACAATTTAAGAATTCGCAGAATGTTTTAAAAAAATCGCAACAGATTCAAAAATATTCTAAAGTCTCACATAAGTCAAATTTATTTTTTAAAATTACACTTTCCGATGCTAAAAATTTATTTTGTGTAATGAACTGTTTTTCCATCGTGACGTCATTAATAGTTTTTTTAACTGGCCCTCCCAATCTTTCCTTTCGGATACTAAAACATGTTTTTATTTGTTAAATGGTCGCGGAAAAAAGTTGGTACCTTGTATAAACATTTTTGGGAAAATTCCTATTAAATTTGGAAAAACAAATTTCCGGCATATATTGAAAAACGGAGCTTTCGGCGAAGTAGTAAAAAAGTAGCCTGTTGAGGGTTCCAGACCAAAATTTTCAAAATATTCAGTTTCAGTCAAAATTTGAAAACACCCCAAGTCGTCAAACAATCCCAAAAGTTCATATCAAAAGAAATAGTCAAAAATTTCAAGTTTTTGAAAAATTGACCTTTTGGTGAAGTTAACTAAAAATCCACAATTTTCTGGGATATACGTATATCTCGACAACCTGAATCGAAAAACAGCCTCTTAATGGTTCCAGACTAAGATTTTAGAAATATTGAGTCTCAAAGTCGAATTTTTAATATAATGCCAAAATTGCCGTATTTCGCTTTGACGATTTAAAAAAATTGTTGGAATTTTCAATGAAGGGAATGCGAAAAACATCTCACAAGATCCAAATCAACAAAAAAAACTCCTTAAATAATTTTCAAAGGTGCTCGGGAAAATGCCAAAAATTTCACACAATTTATCTAGGCACTGAAAAATTGAACTTTTGGCGAAATTGCTTAAAAACTCACAAAATTAATTCTGAAACATACTCAAGTTGAATCGAAGAACATATTCCCAGACAAAGATTTTCAAAATATTCAGTTTAAGTAAAATTTTTCAGATATCCCAATAATTACCATATGTCATTTTGGCGAGTCTGGGAAAATATTAGGCAATTTCGAAGAAATGAAGCCGTCAAATATTCCCAAAGGTCGATATCACCCAAGAAATTCTTGAAATAGTTTTCAAAATTGCTCGCGAAATAGTCAAAAATTTCAAGTTTTTGAAAAATTGTGCTTTTGGTGACGTTATCTATAAATTCACAAAAAAAATAGTTATATATTATCTCGCCAACAGCCTCTTGACGGTTCCGGACCAAGATTTTCGAAATATTGAATCTTAAAGTCAAATTTTTAACATATTGCAAAAATTGGCGTATTTCATTTTGACAAATATGAAAAAATGTTGGAATTTTTAAAGAAGGGAAGCCGAAAAACACTGCACAAAATCGAAACCAACAAAAGACATTCTTTAAATAATTTCGAAGGTGCTCAGGACAATGTAAAAATTGCAAACATTTCGAAATTTTCAATATTAGCAAAATTTTGACAAATACCAAAAATTACCAGGTGTCATTTTGGTGCTTTCAAAAAAACAATCGTAATTTTCGAAGAAATGAAGCCGAAGAACACTCCTGGAACTCGATATCAACACAAGAAATTCTTTAAATAATTTCGAAAAAAGCTCGGGAAATATGCGAAAATTTCAAGTTCTTGAAAAATTGAGCTTTTGGCGAAGTTATCTAAAAATCCACAAAAACATTCTGAAATTTCTACAAATTGAATCGAAAAACATAACCTCTTGACCAAGATTTTCGAAATATTGGGTCTCAAAGCCAAATTCTTAATATACCCCAAAAATTGTCATATTTGATTTTGCCGAAAACACTTCAATCCAAAGAAACTCTTTAAACAATATTCCATGGTATTCAGGAAAATATCAAAAATTTCTTACAAAATTTTCAAATTAGTAAAATTTTGAAAAATCTTGGCAATTAGCACGTGTTATTTTGGTGATTCCGGGAAAATAATTGGAATTTTTAAAGAAATAAAGCCGAAAAACACTCCCGAAAATCGATATCAACACAAGAGCCTCTTTAAAAAATTTCCGAAAATACTCGAGAAATGATCGAAATTTTCAATTTCTTGAAAAATTAGGCTTTTGGCGAAATTACCAAAAAATTCACAAAACATCAACAAATTGAATCGAAAATCATGGCCTCTTAATGGTCTCGAATTTGTGAAATATGGGATATCAAAATCGAATTTTTAACATATCCCAAAAATTACCGCAAGATCGAAATCAACAAAAATCGAAATGTCAAAAATACAATTAGCTTTTGACGAAGTTGTTTAAAAATTCATAAAAAATTCTGGGATATAGACAGTTGATTCGAAAAACATGGTCTCTGATGGTCTCGGACCAAGATTTTCAAAATTTTCACTATCAGAAAAATTTTGAAAAATCCGAATAATTACCACGTGTTATTTTGGTGATTCCTAGAAAATGACTGGAATTTTCGAAGAAATGAAGACGAAAAATGCTCCAGAAGTCGATTTCAACACAAGTAACTCTTCAAATAATTTCCTAAAATGCACCGAAAATGGCTGAAAATTGCAAGTTCTTGAAAAATTGAGCTTTTGGCAAATTTACCTAAAAATTCACAAAAACATTTTAGGATTCAATCGGAAAACATAACCTCTTAATGGTTCGGGACAAAGATTTTCAAAATATTGTGTCTCAAAATCAAATTTTTGAATAATCCCAAAAATTGCTGTATTTCATTTTGACGAGTCGAAAAACAAAAATTGGGAAACAAAACACTTCATAAGATCGAAATCAAGAAGAGAAAATCTATTAAATAATTTTAGAAGGTGTTCAAAAAATGTCAAAAATTTCTTGCATTTCATACATTAAAAAATTGAGCTTTTGGCGAAGTCGTTTAAAAATTCACACAAAATTCTGAGTACACAGACAAAATGAATCGAAAACATAACCTGTCGATGGCCTCGGGTCAAATTTCTACAAATATTCAGTATCAGTCAAATTTTGAAAATATCTCAATTATTATCATGTGTCATTTTGGAAATTCCTGGAAAATGATTGGTATTTTCGAAGTAGTGAAGCTGAAAAACACTTCCAGAAGTCGACATCACCACATGAACTGTTTAAATAATTGAAAATTTCAAGCTCTTGAAAAATTGAGCTTTTGGCAACGTTGCTTAAAAATTCAGACAAAATTCTGAGATATAAACAAAATGAATTAAAAACAAAAACTGTTGATGCGCTCGCCCCAAGATTTTTTTAAATATTAAATTTGAGTAAAATTTGGAAAATATCGCGATAATTTTAATGTGTCGAAGGTCGATATCAACACAAGAAACTCTTTAAATAATTTCCGAAATTTCTCGTTACTGAAAACTTAAGCTTTTGGCAAAGTTGCTTAAAAAACCTCAAAAAAATTTTGGGATCTCAACAAATTGAATCGAAAAATATAGCTTCTTGATGGTTCTGGACCAAAATTTTCGAAATATTGGGTCTCAAAGTCGAATTTTTGACGTATCCCAAAAATTGTTGTATTTCATTTTAACGATTCTAAAAAAATGGGAAGCCGAAAACACTTCACAATATCGAAATCATCAACAAAAGAAAATTTTGAAATAATTTTCTGAAGGTGCTAAGGAAAATGTCAAAAATTTGATGGATTTCATGTATTAAAAAATTGAGCTTTTGTCAAAGTTGCTTAAAAATTCACACAAAATTCTGAGATATAAACAAAATGAATCCAAAATATCACCTGTTGATGCTCTCGGGCCAAGATTTTCGAAATATTCAATTTCAATAAAATTTTGAAAATATATCAAAAATTATAATGTGTCGCTGACGGTCCGGAAAAGTGACACGAATTTTCGAAGAAATAAAACCAAAAAACACTCTCGGAGATCGACATCAGCAAAAGAAACCCTTTAAATAATTTTCGAAAGTGCCTAGAAAAGTGTCAAAAATTTCATATATCTATCTATATTGAAAAATTGAGCTTTGACGAAGTTGTTTCAAAAATTCACAAAAAATTGAAGGATATAGACAAGCTGAATCGATAAAACTTGACCTGTAGATAGTCTCGGGCCAAGATTTTCAAAATATGCAGTTTCAGTCGAATTTTGAAAATATCTTAAAAATTTATAATGACTCATTTTGGTGACACTGGGAATGTGGCAAGAATTTTCGAAAAAATAAAGCTGAAAAACACTCTCGGATGTCCATATCAACAAAAGAAACTCTTTTAATAAGTTTCGAAAGTGTTCAGGAAAATGTCAAAAATTTCTTACAAAGTGAGTCGAAATACATGGCCTGTTAATCTTCTAGGACCAAGATTTTCGAAATTTTCAGATCAGTAAAATTCTGAAAAATCTTAGCAGTTACCACGTGTTATTTTGGTGATCCCAGGAAAATGATTGGAATTTTCAAAGAAATGAAGCCGCACAATACAGCCGAAAGTGATATCAACACAA